AAGGCCCAGCGTCTCTGGATGAACCGCAGCAAGCCAGCTGTTCCCTGGCAAATACATGAGTCCTCTGTACACATCAGAGTCCCCTCTGCTGTGCAGCCACTGACCCAAACTATTTTGAGACAGCAGCTTCTGCTGTTATGTTTATTCCTAATCACCCTCATTATAACAGCTCTTTAGCGCAGGGGGATGTTCACAAAGGTGCTTTGCTTAATGTATTTTATGTAAAGAGATGAGCCCCCTTGGCCAGTGTTAAATACCAAGTGAATTATAGAGCCATCTCACCAAAAAACCATTTATTGTAATGGCCTCTGCCACTCACTGCCATTGGAGTGGATAATGAACTCCCCCTTTGGAATATGCAATTTGCTGGATAGTGGGGTTTTTTAAGTGAACAGAGAGCCTGCTGGAGGAATTTAAGTTGCTGGGTCATTTATTACCAGCCCAGCAGCACAAATTCCCTCGCCCCACCACTGCCCTGGTAAATAAAAACACCTCTTCTTTGTGCTTGTCACCAAGAGATCTCAATCATCTCCATTTTACAGACCAGGGAAACCGAGGCAAGAGAGCCACAAGGGAACATGCCTATGGCCATACATAGCCCTATAACCTGTCACTTGTTCCCGTCACTGTCCCAGGCAGAACAAGCCAGAAAGGAGCCACTGCAGCATGCTGGGGCAGAGCTGGGAGATGCTCTTGGATGCCAGTTGCTGTGGCCAGCTTGCAGCCTGGGCCCAGCAAAAGAGATCCCTGAGCTCCCCTGCTGCCCCCCTGTCCTCATGGGTGGGAGGCATTTGGCATAGCTTGGTTCATCCTCTTTTCAGGTCCTCCTATGCCACCGCAGGACATGTTGCTGGTGGCTTATTTCACTGCAGCTCCTTCTGGGATAAAATACTCCTGCCTGAATACTGGGAACAGATGTAGACAGCTGAACAGAAGCCACCTCCAGCCTGCTACCAGGTGAACAGTCCTGTCTGGGTTATACAATCACCCAAAAAAAGACTGTAGGAGAGGCCGTGAGCTGAGATGGCTCCAGTCCTGCTTGCCTGCCTGCCTGCCACAGACCACAGGCATGCCCAGAAAGCTGGGAGCTGTTACTCTCGCATAAATGTGCAGCACAGGTGGTCCAGCGAGGTAGGAAAAGGGGCAGAATTTGGTTATGCCCGGCAGGTCTGGGCTGTGCCACTTCGGCGAGCAAGCAGGCC